TGCCGCCCCCTCCCCTCCGCCTTGAGCGCCCTTCCTTTACGCGTCATTTTCCAATCGTGTCCATTGCTGTGTTCATGTACAGACACTGACGATCTGGTGATATACATTGTACACCCTGTTCTCTTGTGTGCATTTTTCTTAGATCGTCTTTTGATCAAAAACCTGTCCTATCAGTTTTACGGAGGAGCAAATTCATTGACCTGTACCTCCTTTCTCTCAACGTCCCACTATCCTAATCCCATTTCCTGTTGTCGTCTTCGTTGTTGTTACTGTCTTTTTCTGTAAATGCTTTTTACTTTTTCTCTCTCCCTTCTGCGCTACCTGTTGACTAATTTTGTTTTGGCCCTTCGCCGTTTTGTAGACAACGAAACTGCAGAACAGGCGAGATAAAAACAGACATATCCAATCCTACTTCGTGCAAACTGTGGATCTCGCGGTCGATCAGATGGGCACATTCAAGAGTAAAAGAAACAGTCAATAACATTCTGCTAGTTACCGAATAATGTAACAAATACCATAGTTTATTCTAATTCGAAGGTTCATGCCAAATTAGTAGATCAGTGACCAATTTTGGCCGATGACGCAACTCATTTGCTTATAAGAGGAAAGGTGATCAGAATATGTGTTTTGTGGAATGAAATGGGCGAGTTTACGACAAAATTTTATGCCTATGACGGTAATTTTTTTTCACACATTTTTCTGTGCTGAAAAGAACGAGAGTATTTCCTAGGATCGGCAACCTGATCTTTGTGACTCGGAGTGGCGTACAAGCGTAAAACCTCGATCGGTTGTCTGTGCTAATGTGACGGATCGCGGTGAAGCTGTCTGCCAACAAACTAAGATGAGCCTAATGGGTTTTGAACTTCAAACATGGACGCCTGTGCTCATAATGGGTGTCTCTATCCAATAGATCCCTTAGCCACTTAAGATAGCAATCTGCCACTGTGCGATAATCTTGAGACCAGAGGAGTGCTGAAACGTGAGCAACGTATTCTGGGCCGCGGAAACAAGTGAGCCCAAGGATCTCCTGTACATGTCAATATGAAGGACATTTGGTTTCACAAAGACAGTGCCATAAGCTTCAGTTTGTGCGCGTGGTAGGTAACATCACACAAGAACTATGGCTCACAAATCTTTGGTCATCACATTCCACTAGATTTCTAGGTAGCACCGGGCTTATTCGCCATGGATGAATTACATGACTGATGAAACACAGTTTCGTTTTCATAATTTTCTTTACAACTTTGTTTGATTTTTGACTCAACAACCTTATGTATCAATTGCTGGATATTCGTCCTTTTGTGCAATAAAGCAAACAATTACCTTGACTTGACTTGAAATATTTTCGTCATCTGTTCCGGGTATCAATGCATCTGCGGAGATCAACAGGTGTCGCTTTTTATGATGGTTAAAATTCCCCCGAAATGGTTACCTGAGCTTCGTGGTCTGCATCAAGGATGGTTACTAGCAAAAGAGTGCAGGGTCACTACTATTAAGTGAACAAGATACAGTGTGGAATTGTTAACTTAGTGGTGCACGGAATTTTAGTTGCCTAGTTCGGACCTAGCGTTTGATGAAGCTTCGAAGGGAAAGGGATTACAAGCGAGTGAGAAATTAATAAAAACATGAATACCAGCTTTCAAAGAAGAACTGATTTCATGCGAGTAACTGGCATAGTGGAGGTAATTAAAGTATCTGAATTTAAAAGTAGGTATTGAGGAAATGCCAAACACAAGGTGAACTGAAGACAAGAGCGAAAAGAATCGGTACTGACAGTTGGACTGCTGACGTTAATGAGAGTTCTTAGTGACCAGAATGCGCATTTGGCTTCCCGGTGTGTGAAAAAAGAAACCCGGCAATCTGCAACTGATACTTCGCGGGTGGTACTTTTCCGGGCGACTTTTCTAGTTAACAGAAGACAACCGTACGCTCAACTCACGATTACTTGGGGTTTTTAACCCACCAATGTTCAACTTATATGTGCGTTTCGAGTATATTTGTGATACTGATTGAACTTATCCTCCCAAACCGCAACTAGAAAAACCTGATGGTTCAAACATAGACTGTGGAGGGAGAGAAAGTGGTCGCAATTATTTTGCAAAACTGCAATCGGTTAAAACTGAGTGCAGACATTGTAGACCGTCCTTTTGGACAATCGATGCTGATGTTCGTTTCGAAAAATACACCTTATATGCATGAATATCACCTGGATAAGCAGAAAACAATATGCCTAGTGCAGTCGTCAAGATAACATCAGTTTGGGGTCACGTAACCCTCCCCGCCCCCCAAACAGATACACTGTGATAGAAAATTAATTGAATCAGATCATTTCATTACCATTCGTGCACCGTCCAATTAGTACTTGGCACAAATTCAATGGGCATCGCATCGATTTCGTATCTCTGTGATGGATAGCACAGCCGGGATGTACGGCTAAAACGGTGCCAAAACCCCGAATCACTATTGATGGTTTCAAGTTCATTTTGTTTTAACAGTGTTACTCATACAGAGAAAACCATATAAATGACCGGATATATCTGAATGGCTGGAAAAGAAGTACGCCGAAGCAATTGAGCGGTTTTGACATGCTTTTCGGACATTTTTTAGTCTATTGAATTGTGTATGTGCTAGAACGGAGCTCATAGATTAAGTCAAAACGCACGCGAATCCGCGTCCTACCACAAGCACAATCCCGACGACCAAAGCGAATCGATTCCGGATTGGATGACTAGGGCGAATCAGACAGCTGTCGTCCGATCGACCAATCGGAGTATCAAGGTCGCGATCTGATTGGTTCGTCACCACATCGTTCCCGTACGCCCAATTTACCATCAAGACGAGACTGCACCTTGACATGGTGTGATGGCTGATGCACCTCTGACCCAACAAGCTGCACAGGATGGCTTTCGTCAAACCAGATCAAGGAGATCTTATCACGCCTGGAAGTTCAGCGGTTAGAGGTCAAACGAAGTTCAGTCTCTTGGTCCTCCAGGTTGGGGGTTTGACTAGAATTTGCGTTTCAGTGGGTAAAAAATGGTGGAGGAGTGAGTAATCGATCCAAGTAGATGGGCTCCCACTCCACTTCACCCGCTATCTTGCGGCTAGGTTCTTGTTAGAACTAAAGGCTTTGGACGAGAACCCTAATC